CAGAAAAGAAACGACATGGCTTCTGTGCCCTTCCTTTTGGACTTGTAGTCGGCATCTGTAAGGAACCCTGCGCTGCCTCCACCGCCTTGATCTTAGGTCCTTGTCCACCCGCCTCATCCCTTTTGGTTTACGCCAGCTGTTCGAATTCCGCCAGGTAGGCGCGGTGGATCGCCATGACATTGGTTTCAGTGGGCGCGGAGGTGATATACCTTATCAAGTTCATGCGGAACGCGATGTCGCCATGCTCATTCAATGGGCTTTTCACCATGCCCCCCAGTGACTTCAGCAAATTGCTGGGGTCTAGAGTCGCGAGTCCCACGTCCTTTGCCCTCTGGTGGAATCGTGCCCGCTGACGCAAACCCGCTATGGCCTCGTGCGCCGTGGTCGCTGCCTCAAGGAACTCCACCATTTTCAGTAGCATTGATTTTTCCGTCGTACTTCCCGGCCTGTAGACGATCATATGCCTCGCCAGGATCTCAAGCATTGTCCTTGATCTCGCAGCCACCAAATCCTTGCGAACCTCCTCCGGCGAAAGCAGCACGCTCGCTCCGCGCTTATCCACCCTGGACCACTTCACGTCCGAGGTATCAATGCCAGGCGTCCAAGCTGATCTTGTTCCACAACGCTGCGCCACCATTCGGTACTGTTCGCACTGAGGTCGCCCATGCCATTCTCAATGCAATGCAGCCAATCTCCAAAGTCCACAACACTCGTCTTTGTAGTTTCAGGCAACTTTCGCACGTCTTGGGTTGACTTCGAAACCTCCTCCGGTTAGTTGCCCTTGATGGCCCTTTCCAATCCCGCTAGAAGTCGTTCCGTAGGATCGGTTCCTGCACCAGTGGCTGAGGCACCATGTGCATTCCCGACCCCGGGCAACTGCAGGTCCGGATGCGAAGCAACCGCTGTCGTGGGGACATCCACAGGCACACCTGGCTGCACTGAGGTACAAGCTCCTGTTCAAGCAATCAGATCGGGAGTTAAATCTTGTTGACGACCGGACGTGCGGAACCGAAACGAAGTACGATAGCTTGC